AGATTAAACTTAACCTGCTTACAAACCTTTTTAACTTGAGCTTTAAATGTAAGTTTAGAATCAATCAGTATTCCCAGATATTATTATTGAGGCATTCCCTGACACGTAAACATCCGGCTCTTTAATAATACTGTTAGACTTAGAGAAAAACATGCATACTGTTTTGGACACATTTAGTAGTAAGCAATTCTCTTTTAGCCATGCTGACACATTAACCATAGAATTCGTGAGTTCATTTGCAACTTGTGCTAGACTATTACCATGTACTGTATATAAATTACTGTATCGTCCGCATACATTTGTATATTAATGCCAGGACATGCAAGATGAAAATCATTTATATATATATATATATATATAGCAAAAAGCAATGGACCCAAGATAGATCCTTGAGGAACACCAGTTGATGTACCTAAATCATTGGATTGGTGATTTTGTACTCTAACACACTGAAATCTATCTGATAGATATGACTCTATCCAGTTAAGTGTATGTAATGAGAAATTAAAACAAGATAGCTTAGACATAAGGATTCTATGATTAACGGTGTCAAAGGCTTTCTTTAAATCAAGGAACACGGCTCCAACTACACCACCTTTATCTAAGAAAGTTTTAATATTTTCTATAAAAAAACAATTTGCGGTTTCCGTTGAGTATTTTGCTCTAAAACCAAACTGCATTGGATGCAATGAAAATAAACTACTACTCAAGTAACTGCTTATCTGTTTTGCAACTAATTTCTCCATAACCTTAGAAACAGTGGGTAAAATACTAATTGGCCTATAATTATCAATAGAAAGGGAATCTCCACTTTTGAATATTGGAACAACAATCGCCGACTTCCAAACACTTGGGAATTTTCCCTGAGAAATTGAAAGGTTAATAACTTTAGTAATAGGTTTAATTAGAGTCGAACTAGACTCTTTGAGCATAACAACATCCATACCGTATTTTTCTTTTGCTCTAGATGATTTAAGAGATCTAATTGTTCTCATAACATCAGAATCACTAACAGGCCATATTCTAAAAACAGGCTCCACTGTTGTAAGTGGACAGACATTAGTATACACAGGCGAAAAACAACGAGTAATGGTTTCTACGGAATCAACAAAATGATAATTAAAAATCTCTACCACCTCAGCTGGATTGTTTATTGATTTCCCCTTTACTTTAAGTTCTAGAATTTTCTTATCTTCATTTTGTTGTGCTGTTAATTTTTTTTAACTGATTCCAGGATTGCCTCTTGCTTTTTCTATCACAGTGAGGAAAAAAATCTGCTTTAGCTTTTCGTAATTTCTTTACCACAGAGTACCTTAGCATAGTAAATCGATATCTATCATTACTCAATTTAGTTTTAAGTGAGATATAAAGTGACTCATGTCTTAATTTATGTAAGTGTTGTGTTATTATGTTCACTTTTTACCTCACCGATAAAAATAGCATATGAGATTGGATTTTAAGTTTAAATTTAAGACAGATACCAACATACAACGCCACTGCTAGAGAAAACGTTTGACTACTGAGATTTAGGCAAATGTCCCGTGTGACAACTAGCCCCGGTCTAAATATGAGCTTATTGTCTCTCAGCCGGGGAGAATAGACCCTCATCACCCAAAGGTCTGCGGCCACCAGGGCAGCGTGATGGACATCAGATGGAGTCCGTTCATGGACAACATCATCGCGTCCAGCTCCGAGGACTGTACGGTGAGAATCTAACCTGTTAACTGTGATGATTGTGGCGACGACATTTATGCCAATGCAGCCGTGACCTTTGACCTCCAGGTGAGAATCTGGCAGATTCCTGACGGCGGTCTGAGGAGGAACATGACCGAAGCTCTGATGATCCTGATTGGTCACATCCGGAGGGCGGGGCTTATCGAGTGGCATCCCACCTGCAGCGGCATCCTGCTCAGCGCCGGATACGACTGCAAGGTAACCACGACAACCAGAACTAACTCTAACTAACCCGCAGTGACCTGAATGACAAACCCATGATGTTTTGACGTTTACGTCACAGATTCTGATCTGGAACCTGGAGGAGGGCGTGGCTGTGAAGATGATTGACAGCCATCCAGACGTCATCCTCTGTATGTCCTTCAACACCGATGGAAGTTTACTGGCCACCAGCTGTAAGGATAAAAAACTGTGCATTATTGATCCACGTTCAGGGAAAGTTCTTCAGGTGAGAGCAGACGTCATATACCGCAAACCATATATTTGGAAATAAGTGTTGATTTTGTATAATTCTGATTTGATTTTTATTTTAATTTTTTAAAATATTTTTTTATATTAAATATATGTTTTTGAATGGTTATTTTTATAGTTTTATAAATACATATTTGTTTTTTAATAATGAATAAATTATATTTGATTTTTTTTAATGTTATACTTAGATTATATTTTAACCACAAGTGTTTGTTTAATTAAATATATTATGTTGGAAATAAATTATATTTTTGCGTTATTCTGATTGGTGTTGCAAAATTATATTTAATTTTTTTTTATTATAATAAATAAAAAAATATATATTTAATTCAATTTAATCAATTAATTTAATTATATTTTAATTGTCATTAATCCGATTTGGTGTCATGGAATTAAATTATATCTATATTTTTAATTTAAAATAAAACATTATATGATATTGTTATTTTATTTTTATTTATATTTTAGCTACACATTATATTTATCCATACATGTTTGTTTACTTAAATATATTATGTTGTAAATAAATTATATTTTTGTGTTTTTCCAATTTGGTGTCACATAATTATAATTTTAAAAAAATTGTTTATAATATATATAAACAAATAAATATATTTTAATGTATTTTAAAATAAACAGTTCTATTATATAATGTAGTTAATATATAAAAATAAAATACATAATATTTTAATTGAATATATTTGTTTAACTAATTCTATTTTGTTGGAAATAAATGTCATTTTTGCATTATTCTAATTTGGTGTTACTAAATTATATATATATATATATAATTTTTATAATAAACATAAAACAATGCATATATTTAATTTAAATTAATTTTAGTTTATTAGATATTCTGTATTTTATTTTAAGATTTAAATTTTAATTGTACATTATATTTAACTGTTCATGTGTGTATAATTCAATATATTTTGTTGGAAATAAATGTTATCTTTGCATCATCCCAGTTTGGTGTCACTGAATTGTAATTTTTTATATTTGTATATTTTTTTTATGATAAATACATAAATATCTCTATATTTTAACTAAAGAAATATTAATTTAAAAATGTATATTTATTTGTACATTTATATTTTAACCGATCCTGCTTGTTTAATTCTGTATAATGTTCATCCGAACAGGAAGCAGACTGTAAAAGCACCAGAGTGAACCGCGTGGTGTTTCTGGGTAATCTGAAGCGTGTCCTCACCACGGGCGTCTCCAGGTGGAACACTAGACAGATTGCATTGTGGGATCAGGTAAGCTCTAAACTGTTTAATGCCACTAGGCCGACTAGAACAAGCAATCAAATTGCTTCAGGCATTTGTTTAAACATGCAGGAGGATCTATCCGCTCCCATCACAGAGGAGGAGATCGACGGGCTGTCCGGTGTCCTCTTCCCCTTCTATGATGCTGACACACACATGCTTTATCTGGCCGGGAAGGTGAGCCACTCTCCAGTAAAACAATCTGAAGCATGCAGATCTGTGGCTTATCTTACTGAAATGGTCTCACATCCACAGGGAGACGGAAACATCAGGTACTACGAGGTGAGTCCTGAGAAACCCTTCCTGCAGTTCCTGATGGAGTTCAGATCGCCGGCTCCGCAGAAGGGTCTGGGTGAGTTACTGTCACCAAATCATTCCATATTCTTGATGCAAAGTTCAATATCAAGGCAAAAAATAAAATGCTAATGAACACATAGCATTTATTTTATTTTATAATCGAATTGGTTTAGAATTAAAATATTAGTATAAATATTAATAAATAAATTATATGGTGTTTCCCAATTTTTCAAGCATTGCATCAGTTATTATTGAGTAAAATAAAATTACAATAAAATCTATAAGAAACATAAAAACATAAATCATTTGTTAAAATTTTGAAGAAAAAAAAACTGAATATGAAATACATGAATAGTCAAATAAAATAAATGAAGTAAAATATATATATAGTTTTGTGCGGTCAAAAAATTAATCGCGATTAATCGCATCCAAAATAAAAGTTTTTGTTTACATAATATATGTGTGTGTACTGTGTATATTTATTATGTATATATAAATACACACACATACAGTATATATTTTGAAAGTATTTAATATATAAATATTTAATATATAAACATAACATGTTTTTCTGAAATATATACATGTATGTGTGTGTATTTATATATACATAATAAACATACATAGTACACACACATATATTATGTAAACAAAAACTTTTATTTTGGATGCGATTAATCGCGATTAATCGTTTGACAGCACTAATGTTGTATAATATATATAGTAAAATAAAATATCTTTATATCTTTCTTTTTTTGTGTGTGTGTGTAACTTTGTAAGTTAATCTGCTCTCTTGACTGCTCAAGACAAATTTCTCCTTCTGGAGACAATAAAGAAAGAAATGAATGAATGTATAATATAATATAATTAAACTAAATTAAATTATATGGTGTTTTGCTTCAGGTTTTTAAGTTATTATTCAAGTAAAATAAAGTTACGTAAAATTTAAAAGAAATAGAAAAATAAAAGTAATTTTGAAAATAAATCAAAAATAAAATGTAAAATAAAATACAGAAGTACACTGTAAAAAATGACCATGAATTTAACGGTAAAAGACTGTAAAAATGCTACAGTAAAAACCTGTTAAATGGTTAACGGTAAATTCCCCTACTATATACGGTGAAAAACTGTATTAGACATTAATTTTACGGTAGTATACCATTTTTGGAAGTGAAAAAGACCGTATAATTTACAGGGAATAACCGTAAATTGACATTCCCAGAATTCCCTGCATTACATTTCAAATGTGATGTTTTTTTGTTGAAATAACTATGTTTCTTAGTTTTTTTCTTATCAGTTTTGTATATTAGGGTTGTGTGTTACACCTAATGTTGTTAAATAAATGTTTATTGCATTATTTCAGTTTCACGTGTGTTACCATGATGGTGTTTAGTGTTTGTGTGAATGACACTGTGCACCTTCTATATATGTTATTATTTAAAAGCTGCTTGTAATGGGCTTTGGTTCATCATGTGACTTCCTCATCACCACCTGCATTTGGTGGTTATCAGTGTATTACAAAGGTACAAAACAGATTTCAGTACTTCAATAGGTTGGTATATTAACATTATATCAGTTAATTAAATTACGGTATTTAACTGTAAATTTAAGTTAAAACTGTAAAACCTAAAACGTTGCTACCGTATTTTTTACGGTAAAATTCTGGCAACCACAGCTGCCGGGTTTTTACCATACATTTTATGGATTTTTTTTTACAGTGTAGCAAAGTTAAGTTAAAAATGACTGTTATATTACACATTTTTTGTTTTATTATTTTATTTTATATTTGAATTAGTTTATTTAATACTGAAATATTAGAACATATTAATCAACTAACTTATATGATATGGTGTTTCCCAATTATTCAAACATTGCTTCAGGATTTTATTAAGTTATTATTGAAGTAAAATAGTATTACAATAAAATCTATAAGAAATGGCATCAATAAAAACGATATAAACTTTTTTTTTAATAAATTGAAAAAAATAGTATAAAATAAAACAATAAAATATAATACCAAAGTATCCAAATAGAAGAAAATAAATAAATCGAAACTAATAAAAATGACTTCTTTTTTTTTTCTTAAAAAATGCAAGAAAAGGTAAGTTGGCGGTGAATGGGTCTGATCTGATGTTGGTGTGCAGGTGTGATGCCCAAACGCGGCGTGGATGTGAGTGAGTGTGAGATCTTCAGGTTTTATAAGCTGGTGACTCTGAAAGGTCTGGTGGAGCCCATCTCCATGATCGTCCCGCGCAGGGTGAGCAAAACAAAAATGAAATCAGACGCTTCTCTGAGTCAAACAAAGCATGTCCAGTGGTTAGATTCCAAGTCTTTATGCGAGCAACAGACTGAAACCATGCCACTATGCTCTGAAAAAATCAAATCTTCAGTAATGTTTTCAGCTGTTTTAAATGTGATCTATGTCCGCTGCAGTCTGAGACGTATCAGGAGGATATTTTCCCGATGACGGCGGGCACAGAATCAGCCCTGTCGGCCGCTGAGTGGCTCAGTGGGATTGACAGAGGTGACGTCTTCACCTTCACGTACATGATGAACATGATCTGAATTCATTCATGCGTTTGATCTGTGTGTAAAGTCATCTGTGTGTGTTTGTACAGGGCCACTGCTGATTTCTCTTAAAGAAGCTTATAAACGTCCAAATCCAGCAGGTCTCAGAGCATCTAAACGGGTATATAGTCATGGTTTAGTGAAAGTGTTACCCTCTACCACATATTCAATGGTCATGTCACAGAAATAAATACTAACCCCTAACCTAATATATATATATATTTATTTACTTATTGGGCAAATGAAGCTTTCTGAGTCGATAAACATGCATTAAAGCAATGCAAACCTTTCTGCACGCTTTATCTACAGCTGTGCCTCATTACAGCAGCTGTTTTCACATCAGGTTTCTGTGCTTGGACAACATGTTATTTGATATTAAAGCTTTTGTTCTGTGTGCATTTTTCACTAAAGTATTTTTAAATTAACCAAGTTAATAAGCAAGTCTCATGCTGGCTTATGCAAAAACTGTAACTGATATTCAAACATGAAGTAAATATACTTTTATAGCTGGATGAATAACATTATTAATAGAGAATGAATGTGTTTTTGTGACTATTTTGGGGTCTTCAGATCAAACCGGTGCATCAGACATTATAAATCGGGTATTTTTAGCAAAACAAATCCAGCTTTGATGCAGCACTTCAGTGTTTTTCATCACAAACTTTGTGTAGCGTCACACTAGAAATAATATTTCACCTGTTTTGTCTGCTTTTGATTTGATTCTTTGACCAGCTGTTTTGAGTTTAAGTTTGGTGATTTATTTATTTAAAAGGGGTTATGTTTTAACTTTTTAAATTGCCCATAAGAGGGTGTTTTTCTAAAGAGAAGACTCCATTTGCTCTCTATATAATCTTTTGATGTCTAGGAGAAAGAAAAGTGAGATGTTAAGGAGATTGTTCTGTCTCATAAGCAGCTCCTGAAGATGGTCTTCAAGCAGCAGGATGAAATTAGGAAACTCAAAGATGAACTCGGAGAAAAAGACGAGAGAATCCGACAACTGGAGCTGGAGCTCAAGAACCTGAGAAACACGTGACGAGCAAAACAGAGCTGCTTGTTCGTGTTGTTAAGGTTACACTCAACAACAACAAAAAACTAATTGTTTTATGATTTTATGGAATTGAATAACATTATTGAAGATGGATGTACGTTTGTACGGCTCTCAGTTGTGGTTTTAAAGGGACAGTTCACCCAAAAATGAAAAGTCATGCATTATTTACTCCCCCTCATGTTCTTCAAACCCATATGCTGATATTTTTCAGTATAATGATGTTCAGCTGACGTCTTGAAGCTTTGCAGTGCTACTTTCATTATATTCAAAACAGAAGCTCTGACATTCAGGTAAACATTTTCCATAGAAGAAAGTAAGTCATACAGGTTTAGGATGACATATTAGGGAGTATTTGATGAATTTTCATGTTTTGGTGAACTCTTTCTTTAAGATACAGATGTGAAAATGAAGTCTTGATGTTTACAAGTTCAAACAGATGTGCTTCTTCATTTGTAGAGGAAGCGAATGAAGTTCTTCAGGTTGTTTGCCAGCAGATGGCGCCAGAGGAGAGAGAGCAAACTCATCTCAAAGTCTTAGTCTGCTCTATATATACATGAGATGTTCAAAATCGGTCATTGTGTTCGTTATTTATGCTGACTTGATTTGTAAGTAGGTCATGACATGTTTACTCTACAAATAAACTATTGCTCAACCACTGTGAATCTGTTTTATGTTCCACAAGAGCCTTCTTTGCGTTAAATTTGAATTCCCATTCACAGCAAGAATGGTAGCTCTATAAGCAATATCACACGAGTAGACGAGTATGTTGTTGAAACTAAAAATAACTTCTGTTTATAGCGTTTATAACTTTTTTATGTAAAAGTCTTTACTGCTGAAACATACCGTCTCTTGTCGCCATCTAATGGCGGAACAATGTAACTAAAACCACCATAACGAACACGCACCGTTTCTCAATACTAAACACTATTATTAAATACTATTATTTATATAAAATATTATTTATTGAATAATAATATTTAATAAACAACAACAACAGCCATCATAAAAGTTGCTAGGCAATTCAGTCAAAAGTAGAAAGGCAGCGCTCTGAAATACAGCATTGAATTTACATAAACATGAGATTTTGCCAAAACTATCTTCTCTGGAACAAATAATAGATTAATGAGAAGTCTCCACACTGAAATACAGCATTGAATTTACATAAACATGAGATTTTGCCAAAACTATCTTCTCTGGAACAAATAATAGATTAATGAGACCAAAGGCAACCGTTAAATTTAGACATCAGAGCCAGCTGTAAATTCCAGAAGACCTGGCCGAGGTGAGGCGCTCTCGGGCGGCTTCATGAGCGCAGGACGGCCGCAGACCATCTGGAGCTCATATGTCCGATAAGTCGACGCAAATTTTCAAATAGACGTTATCTTTATTAATGTTTTTAAAAAGCCTTTTTCCAAAAGGTACATCTGGAAAAAGGGGGGTCGTCTTATAATCAGGGTCGTCTTATATACGGGCCAATACGGTACATTCCGTGACACAAAAACAGTAATATTTTTATAAAATGATACTGGATTTGGGCGTCCGCCATGACACTTGCTGAGTGATACGATTACAAACTGTGAAACGGCTGTTGGAGTTCTGATATCACTCTTAATATCGCACTCTTATCATCCAATCAGATTTGAGGACCAGAAAGAACTGTTGTATTAAACACTATAAATATCATCCACACCAACAGACGATAATGTTCTGTTTATTATAAGCACGGGGGCGAAGTTTTGTCATTGGCCGCTTTAAATATTTGCACTCTTTAAAGCAGAATGGATGCTGATTGGCTGTCAATGTTTTTATGGTTCATCAGCTGTAATAAAATCGTATATAATGATTCGCGATACGCGATTTGAAGTTCCGATGAATCAAATGATTTGTGATCCGATTGGAGCGCTTCAAAACAGTGAATCATTTTGCGACGCATGGTTTGATTCAGAGTTTCGAAAAGCTTTGACAAATCACTACACGTGGTTTTTAAAATCATCACAAGCGATGTGGAAATTCCTGGTTTTTGCAAGTGAAACACTTGAACTGAATGATTGAAGTAACGAGTTCTCTTTTCGCGTCTTCAGCCATGTTTTTACGACACCGACAGTACTACTGGCTTAGCTCGCTAGTTTTATGACATTAACTGAAATAAGTGTTAAAAGTATGTTGTTTTCAAATGTGACATTCATGTCACTTTCACTTCACTTCAAATAAGATATCAATATTTCCATTCCAAAGATAACATCCAACACAAATCTATGAACATATTCAGATGAGGTAACCGGTTTCCAGCTAATTGGAACACTCCATTAATATGGCGAGCTGCACCTCACTTTTTTCTCTATTTTAAAGTTTGACTCCTGCAATTCAGTTGGTGACAGTTCAAGAGGAAATCATTCCATGCACATCTGATTGACAGACAAACCACACATTTCAGTGTTTTTTTTATTTAGTAGATATTTCAGCTAACAGTTTGCCTTGATCTACAACAAAGTCAGGGTAAACTTTATCATTCAACTGAACTGTGCACGTACGATGTATAAACATCGACTACCTTGTATGTATTAAAAGTATGTCCTTGAAAGCGAAATTACAACAACAGTGGTTACATATTCATATATTTAATTGTTTGATCAAAATTATTGCTGGGGACAATTTACTAATCGCTAGATATTGGTAGGAAGGGACATGTCCCTAGCCTCCCTACTAAATTCTACGGCCGTGGTAACCAGTGTTGGGGGTAACGCATTACAAGTATGACGCAAACCTGCAATAATTAAATGTTAAACAACACAAATATCCTTTATGTATTTAATCCCATTTTATTAACCAATTTACAGCTGACCTTCAGTGATCCAATTCAACCATAAAGCAAAAATTACACAAGATAAACTAACATTTCTTCTTCTTTTTTGCTGAAGAGTGTTGAACTTTCTTCTTCTGTGTTCTACTGTAACTGTACAGACGTGAATTTACATTTCCTTCAGCCTGAGGCTTTTGGTGTGAAAGGGCTTTTACGTTTGCCAAAAATAGAACTTTTTATATTAAAAGCAAACAAGCAAGCCCAGCCCAGATTTAAAAAGTAACGCAAAAGTAACGTAATGCATTACTTTCAATAAAAAGTAACTAAGTAACGTAATTAGTTACTTTTGTAGGAAGTAACGCAATATTGTAATGCATTACTTTTAAAAGTAACTTTCCCCAACACTGGTGGTATTTACAATTGTTCTAATTCTATGAAATTCTGTAATGATACTATATTCTTATATAGCTAATTATAACGTTATAACGATAACAACACAGAGACGATATCATTGAAATCACTTTCAGAATGATTTTTATTTTTATTTTCAGATGATAAAACAACAGCAACAACATTGATTTGAGCAGAACGTAATGGTGCATTGGTGAGGATGGTAATATAATTATTTTTATAGTTCGTTCTGAACGGAGCGGGGTTCAGAAGAAAGGTTAAGAAGATCCAAGACGCTCTTGTTTACCTCCAGGATTCGTGGCCTGAATGTGGATCTCTCACCTCATTTAGAATGAATGACAGATCAGTGCAAACGGTCGTTCAAGGTCTGCGCCCCACACGCAACCTCCCACAGCATGTGTCCTGGAACGCAGCAGCAGCACTTTGAAAACCTCCGCCAAAGACTTGAAGAAAATGTCAACGGTAGTGCTCCGGTTTCACAAAGAAAGAAGAATTTCTGTCATTTGTTTAGTCGTGGCCAGAATGAAATCACCTCCAGCTGAATATTTGAGGCTGGAATCCAATATCAGAAGATGAACTTCAGCAATATCTTTTACTCAGAGCTACCATGATGTAGGGTAACTACGAAAAGAGAATGCCTTGGGATACAAAATAAAATGTTAAAGAAAAAGTTCACCCAAAATTTAAATGATTTATTTTCTATTTTTATATTATTTATTATACATTATAGTTATTTTAACCACTTTTTTTCCCCCAAACCATTTTTTTTTTCTTTAGAACACAAAAAGGAACTTTTGCATGATAAACAGGCCGAAATAACTGGTAATTTCCTGAAGATCTAGTGGTTTCTGGGTGAACTATTTCTTTTAAATGTGGCGTTTTTTTTACTAGCATGTAAGTGAAATACCGATGTGCCCCAGTAAAATATTTTACTGTTAAATGAAATTACCGTATAACGACATGATAATCATTTTCTCTGATAATATTTAATGCAATCCTGTCATGTGTTTTTTATCAGCTGTTTAGCACCAGAATTAACGATGCCAGATCTCAAATGAATAACTATTTTGATGATCTAATCGGTTAAACGGGTTTGCAAGAAATAGCAATTCGCGATTCAGATTGATTTTGAATATAGTTCACTCACGCACTGAATCATTTGCTGCCATTTCTCACAGCGTAACCAGATACTTTGTAAGTCATAAAAAAAGAATGATTCACTGGATGAGGTGGATATTTACCGATGTACATTACTGCAGAAAAACGAAACTTTACCATTTCTATCAGTTTGTCAGTGGTGAAGCCGTTTATTTCGCCTTTCAGCTCGTGAACTCTGTACTGCAGGTATAAAGACAATTTATATCCATAACGAAAAAGAGTATCAGTGGTCCAGTACTGATTAAAGTCTAGAAACATTAGTCTTTAAGTGTCTTGCTTGCTCTAATGTCCCTCAGACACACTCAGCACACCTTGTTCTGCTTTCCAGAGCTAATATGATCACTGTCTGCCAAGAAGAAGACAACTGTATTGTAATCAATCCTCACAACTGCAAACGATGTTGTGATGTCTTCGTAATGAGTTGGGGAGCTTTTAGTCATGAGATGGGCTGGATAATGGCCTCATCTGATCTGAGGGACAAAATGAAGCTATATAGTTCATGCATAAATGCCGAAAATGGATTGAGAAGGCGCGACGGCCGGGTTACGCCCAGTGGAAACGTTATCGTCGGTGACATAATCTGCTTTCATTCGACCGGTTTGAAGATTAGAACGTT